CCAGGACAAACCTGTTTGTTCTCCTAGCAGTCCATGGTATATTCAACACTCTTCTCCAGCACCACAACTCAAAGGCATCAATTCTCTTTCTATCATTCCTATTCACTGTCCAACTCTCTGATGCATAGCACGTAATTGCAAAGACTATAGCCTGGATCAGGCGCACCTTAGTCTCCAGCCTGACATCATCGCACTTCAGAACTCCTGAGAGGTCCCTCATAGTTGACTTTCCCAATGCAATTCATCTCCTGATTTCCTGGCTGCTGTTACCATGAGTGTTGACTGTGGAACCAAGTAAACGAAAACTGTTAACTATCTCAATCTCTTCACCATCCATATTGATGCTGCCAATTGGCCCAGTGGTGAGATTCTTTTGTTTTCTTTATATTGAGCTTCAATCCATATCGAAGACTGCAGTCCTTGACCTTCTGCAGCAAACGCCTCAGGTCCTCCTTAGTTTCAGTGAGCAGGGTTGTGTCATCTGCATAACACAGGTTGTTGATGATGCCACATTCCTCCTCATTCAGCCCAGCATCTTGGATGATCTGTTCTGCATACAGATTGAAAAGGTATGGAGACAAAATACATCCCTGACCAACCCCCTTCCTGATTTTGAACCATGTAGTGTCTCCTTGCTCTGCTCTGACGACTGCCTATTGGTCCAAGTATAGGTTTCACATTAGCACAATCAAATATTCTGAGATTCCCATTCTTCTCAGAGTTAGCCATAGCTTGTTGTGATCCACACAGTCAAAAGCCTTTACATAGTCAATGAAGCACAGACAGACATTCTTCTGGTATTCTCTGCTTTCTGCCAAGATCCATCTAACATTAGCTATAATATCCCTAATACCACAACCTCCTCTAAATCCAGCCTGCATATATGGAAGTTCTCTGTTGACATATTCTTTGGATAATTTTCAGCAGAATCTTGCTTGCATGTGATATTAATGGTATTGTTCAATAATTTCCACACTCTGTTGGGGCACCTTTCTTTGGAATGGGAGCAGGCCTCAACTCCATATTTCCTTTCAAGGAGCAGGTCTTTTGGAATCTAAATTTCTAATAAATCTTTCTTTAGCTTTTATCTTAAAAAAAAATCCTGAGCAATGAGCCATTCAAAAATCACTGAGCTAAACCATTCAGTGACAAATACTGTGTCCTCTAAAGAGTCATGTGAAAGTCATAAATCCTGAGCCTGTGGATGTGACCTTGTTTGGAAACAACTTCTTCTGAGTTAATGGGGTCACACTGGAGGAGGCTGGATCCTAAACCTAAACCCTGCTGAGTAGTACCTTACACCCAGAAAGGCACACAGAGTGGGAAGAGGACAGATATCCTGTAACAGGACGAGACAGATGTATCCACTGACCCGGCACACCAAGGATGTGGGCAGACAGCAGAAGTTAGGAAAGAGGATGCAGAATTAACTGACACAGCCAAGACCCAACTCAGACATTTAACCTCTGGAACTAAGAGATAATCAACTTCTGTTCTTTAAAACCACCCACTTGTAACTGTGCTATGGCAGCACTAGGACATTAGGAGAAATATGACGTATGGGAACCGTGAGCTCAAAATGCTTCCATCTGGTTCCATTTTTAACCCACCCATATGCACAGAACCTTTAGAAACACATGTAAGAAACTGCTAACAGTGACCAGCAGTGGGAAGTCTCACAGTCATAAAGGGAAGAAAAATTAACTTCCATAATAAACTTGTCATCACCTGAATTATGTAGACACATGCATACATTAAATACCATCATCAACTGCCACCCTGAGGAGACCAGTGGCCGGAGGGGGTGAGGGAACGGGGTGTCACGTGAACTCAACAAAGCCTAGGACAGGCCAGTAAACAGGAGCTTCCCTCAGACATTCATTTGTGGATTCTGGAACGCAATTAATCACCACAAATAACCTCAATTCTCCTGTCTGTGCTTTTAAATTAACAAGGTATCACAAGCCACGCTGGGGAGGTGTGACCCCAAAAGTCCCCAATCACCCTTCCACTGCCAGGGGAGGTACCAGCGGTCCCAGGCTAGGCAGACAATCTACAAACTCAATTCCTGCTTCCAAGATGGAAGCCTTATGAACCTGTCTTTTCAGAAATAAAAGCCAACACAGGCATTCCCCATCCACCTCCCTCCCAGTAATCTCTGAAGAGGACAGCACGGGCAAACCCACAGGGAAAATGTCAGGGACAATTTGCTAAGTTTCCCTCTCGGAGCTGATGCTGGGGAGTGGTCTGGACATGGTGTGAGTCTGGAGGTGTGGACGTCTGGATGTGAGACACGAGCAGCAACACCGACAGAAGTGCAGGAGGACCCAAACCCAGACGGGGGAGCCCATTCCGAGCCCCCCAGACAGGGGAGTAAGGCGGGACCAGAGTCATCACGTTTTAAAAGTGTGCCTTCCCCTCTCCGAGTATCGGACACCCAGAGCAGGGAGGGCACAGACAGCCAGGAGGTCCCTGTGCCACAGCCGGCAGAGAACAAGGTACTCTTCCGACAGCCAACCCAAGGGAACGTGGAGAGAAGTGGATCTGGATGGAGGAGGAGAATGGCTTCTGGACTGGAAGTCTAAACATTCACACAGTCTCCGGAGGAAGGTCACAGTCAAGGAGGCCGAAGGAATGGAGGTCAGGGAATGGCTGAAGCTTAAGCCCTAATGTGGGAGTCCTCTGAATTGATGCGGACTGCAAAGGTTGGTAGAAATCTTCCATTTCCTCATCTGTGGGTTTAGATGTTGGTGTATTATATTTGATTTATAGTTGTATAATGGGTCTTCTTTGTATGTGTATGGATAGTATCCTGTCACAGCATTGTATTTCAGGATCGATCTGGAAATGGTCTTTTTAAACTATTCCCAACATAACACATCATAGGACTGTCTGATTGAAAGCAGCCAAGAATGTCAATCTTTAGGAGTTCTATTTCATTTTGGACATGGCTCTGGCCTTCCTCCACCGCCCCCAAGCCCCCACCATGATATCTGTATGTTTGCTTGTCCTTAGGGTTTGCTCTTAGGGGTATCACACTAATCGGTCAATCTGCTGTACTGGGGGAGTGACTTGCTTGCTGCCGCTCTTAATGGCTTAGATACATACCTGCCTGCTCCTTGTCTGCTCCCTCAGGTGTCAGCTGTTTTACAAATGCTGAGCTCCCAGAACAAACTAGGAAGCAGGCTTGACTATCCACTTCTAAAAGCACAGGCTTCGAGACCCCATGAACAATAGAGGAACACTGCTGGGTACCGTACTAGAAGCAGTGCCCTTAGAGCAATCATGAGGAGAAACAGCTGCAAGGTGGGAGAGCTGGACTGGTACGTAATTGACAGAGCTAAGAGAGCATTCTAACACATGCCCAAATTAGCCAGAAGCCAAGCCTGTGAGGCCGGCCATGCCTGTACATGACTGTCCTGGCTGAATGATTACATCTTCACTGTTCGCAGCCTGAACCATAACCTGTTACTTCCCTAAAATAACTTCACGGTCCTGAGTGCTGCCTACGAGTTCTGTGTGGCCACCACAATGGAATTCATAAACCAAGCAGAAGAGCAGTGAGAGCCTGGAGAAGGACAGTGGTTAGAATTGTGGGAGGAGATGTGAATGTGGGAGGCAGTCTGACCTCATAGGAACTGTCTCTGTGCTGCTGTGGCTGAGAATTCTTCCCTGCTATGATGTTAGTGGAGGTCAGTTCTGATGTCAGACACATTATTTTTACAATGAAAGAACCAACTGGTGAGGTAAGAGAATGCTGAGGGTCTGTTGGTGAGGTGAGGGAAGAAGACAGGAGTCAGAGGAGGAGAGCGGCACTCCTAACAGAGGATGCAGATTCCCAGGCCTTGCACCAAGAGGCCTGGTGTCAAAGTGGCAAGGTGTCATGCGGGTCTGTATTTTCCTTTGACAAAGTAGGTCTGTTAGAACAAAACATTTCACTGGATTTGTCTTCTATTATCAAGAAGACCCTGCAACAAAAATACACCTGCAACTGCCGGGCACTTGGACAGGCAGCTCTACGACTGACACAAGGACATCTCTGGCCCAGGCCTGGCTGCTCCACCTGCGGTATCTCTATCCAGGCCGCCACTGTGCTGTGATCCACATTCAAACGCTACAACCTTTGGGTATGTGGGCTGCTCTTGCCATGCTGTATTAAAATATCTCAGGCCAATGCTTCAGAGACAAGGCAGAAAGAACTCCACTTAAAAGTCTGTCACTGGACAGTGGATCTCACTGTCTAAGCTGGGACTGCACTTGGACAGTAAAACCACACAAACAGCTTTTATGAAAGAGAAATGAGGGAAAAAAGAGCTCCTAAAGAGGACCCGAAACCATCACAGAGGGATGTACTGCCACCTCCCAGGCTCACGTCCCAGTGACTGTGGTCACAACCCAGACAACAAACTAAAAAGGAGGAAGGGTTTTTTCCCCCTTGCTTCTTCCAGAGAAGAATGTCATTCAAAAGACGTCAACAAGGAAAAGGAACTTCTCATGCACAAGACTTCACAGGAGAAAGATGTTTTTCAAGGAACAAAACAGTGAGGTGGCTGTAACATGGCACAGGGTGCTCAGTGATGGTGGGGCTCGTGCCAGATGTGCTCTGTGAGGACAACCTCAGATGCAGGAGAAAGTGAGGCCCTCTCACATCCCGCAGACAGGCCAGAGAGGCTCCAAGCCTAGCAGCACTGCCTCATTTATAGCAGCGACACAAAGAGTTTGGGCCCGACACCTCCCCGTCATCATTGTTTCCACATCTACTGGGCCTCAGAGAAAGCAACAGAAGACTCTAAAACTTAAAATACGCACAGGTTTTTAGCTGCTCCAAATCCTCCAGGGAAGATGGCAGCATCGTGGTCAGCTGCGCGGAGCTGGGCCAGGTCAGAGATCTTGCCACGTGCAATCCTCGCCGATTCTGTCAGGACGTTCCTGGGAGGAGCAGGGGGGGCATAAGAGAGAGGCTAAAGCCTAACGGCACATGCAGAATGTGGGAGCACCAGGCAGCAGTCAGAGCCCTCCTCCCCACAGAAAAGCAAGAGCCCAGTGCTAACGGCAGAGACCTTGGCTGGGGGTGGGGAGGTTCACACCTACAGGGCTTGTGCTTCCAAAACAGAGTTTAAGGTCACTGACAAGAAAAGTACTTATACTGTTAAAACATTAGCCTGGAATTCTTTTTTTTTTTAAGTTTAATTTGGAGTGGAAGTTTTGAAACCGTACTGCCTTTACATTTAATCATTCATAGACATTTTGTTTTTAACACTAATTTCAACTGATCAGTGTAATCAATTACAGTATCTAATCATATCCTCATTGTATATTGCCTTTCTGGAATTATTTTAAAACTTGCACTTCAGAATCCACCACAAATTACTCTGCATCTCTCTGTCTCTGCCACGGCCCAGGATTTAACAAGGGGATCAATTACATACTCACTGGGATGGATAAGACCCTCCGACTCTGGGTCAGCGGAGCAACTCAAAGGTTAACAACTGTAGGAAGCTACCAGCACCTTGGCCTTGTAGGGGACAGGTTTGGCTTTTAAATAGGTTTGTGCGCAAGTGCACTCACGCACGTGGTGCACACACTTCCAACCTATTAGAACAATGATCACAGAAGGGACAAAGCTTTGGTTTTTCCTCCTATCACCCCTTCCCCACTGTCTTCACCCACCAGGAAGACACAGCACTGGTCCCTGGAAGTGTGCAGCACGTGGCAGCACAGGATGTCAGGGAACTGAGGCCAGAACTGCATGTGCCTCAGTCAGGAATGGCAGTCTAGAAAGGAGCTACAGACTTGTGGAGCTGACACAGGTGGAGGGTAAAGGGGCAGCCCCTGAAGCCCCTGATCAGCTCCACAAGCAGCTGTTCCAGGCACACACTGGGCTCTGGGTCCCACTCACTCACCACATCCAAGGCTGGGAGGTGGAACTCACCTGGTCTCTCCCTCAGAAGGCTGCCCCTTGGTGTGGTCAACCACGTGCATCTGTGGTGTGCTCGGGGCAAAGATCTGAACATCAGCACCCCCGCGGCTCAGGTGGACCAGGATCCTGCACGAGGATCAAAAAATGCAACTTTAAAACATGCCCAATCCAGAACCTATTACATGCTACTCATTTCCAAAGAGAGGAATTTTGGCTAAGTGCCAGTACAAAGCTATGGCTTATTAGCAACCTAACACTCAACATTCCCATCCACTGTCACCCTGTCAGGACAGAATCACATGCCAAGCAGCACACAGGAAAAGGTCAGCGTGCAGAGAGGACTGCAGAGATAGTCAGTTCCGCTATCTTACTTCACAAGCTGGGGCACAGAGGTCAAGGGACAAGGCTGGCATCACAGCAGGCTCCAACTCCAGTCTCCAGGCTGCTGGTGAGCTCACTCCTTTTACCAGGACCAGTCTGACCTCCCACAGGCCACACCCCTACAAGCCTCCATGGCTGAGCCCTCCACAGCACGCACCCCACAAAAGCTGCAGCCTGGACAACCATGTGCAGCCCAATTTAGTGGGAGTCTCACCCTCTAGCCAGACACTCAGTTCACTTCCGCCCAGTGGAAGTCTGCATGTGGCTACTATGCTAAAGAGACTTTAGAGGAGCTGAAACAAGGTAGAGAAGCCTGGTGATCTACTTTTTAAAAAAAAGTCCAGCAGTAAAAACCCTACGTAGTTGCTAGGTGCCATCGAGTTGAGTATGACTCATAGTGACCCTATGGACAGATCTGAACCCTCTCATATTCTGTGCCTTCCTCATCATCTCCAAAATACTTGAGCCCATTGCTGTGGTCACTGTGCCAATCTTGTCAAGTGTCTTCCTCTCCTTCGCTGACCCTCCACTTTTCCAAGCATGACGCCACTTCCAAGAAACAATCTCTCCTACCAAGATGCCCAAAGTATATAAGGCAAAGCTTCACCATCTGTGCCTGTAAGGAGCACTCTGGATACACTTTCTCCAAGACATAGCTGCTTGTTCTTTTGGCAGTCCATGGGATATTCATTACCTTCCTCAAACACCACACTTCAAAGGCAACAATTCTTCTTGTCATCCTTATTCATGGTCCAGCTCTAAGAGGTATAGCAAGTGACTGAAAACACCATGGCCTGAATCAAGTGCACCTTAGATTTTAAACTAACATCACTCACTGCTCCTTAGTACTCTGGAGAAGTCCTTGAGGGCAGGCTTGCTGGCACCAAGGATATTGACTGTAGATCCAAGTAAAATTATACTGTTAATAATTTCAAGCTTTTCTCCATTTATCATGTTGCCTATCAGCCTATGGATCATAATAATCCAGATCACAACCAATCATGGAGATGACCCAGGATTAGGTAGTGTTTCACCCTACTGAGCATGGGGTTGTCTTAAGCAAGGGATGGCAGTCAGCAAGCTTAGTTGACTCAATGGCCAGTCTTCTCCAACTTCTCTACAAGGTGAGATGGGAGAGCCAGGGAGACCTGTGTAAGGAAGCCAGTAAAGAGTTCTCTTTCCCCAAGGGTCAGAAAGTCACTTTATTATTATTCGGTGTCGCTAAGTCAAGCGCAACTCACACTGACCCTATAAAAAATAGATCTGAACCTTGTCCTATCCTGTACCAAGTTCACAATCTGTGACACGCTTGGGCCTATTGCTGGAGTCACTCTGTCAATCCACCTGGTTGAGCATCTTCCTCTCCTCTGTTGTCCTTCCACCTGTCCAAGCATCATGTCCTTCCAAGGAATAGCATCTCCTAGCACATACCCACAGTAAGTGAGACAAAGCCTCACCATCCTTGCTATTAAAGAGCAATCTGCCTTCACTTTCTCCAAGACATATCTGTTGGAGTGACAGACCCAGTGCAGCTAGAGACAGGAAGTCACACTAGTGATGTCACTCACTCAGAGCTAAGGGTGTTCCCAAATACCCAAGAACTCACTACTCCCCAGAGACAGTTTATGACTATGCCATTTTCACAGATGAGAATGAGACTCGAGACAAGAGAAAGTTTCTGAGATCCCACAGTCAGTATGTGGCAGTTAACACGAAGAAGAAGAGGAGAAGGAGGAGGAGGAGAAGAGGTGGAGGGGAGGAGGAGGAGGAAGAGGAAAGGAAGAGGAAGGGAGGAAGGGGGAGGAGGAGAAGAAGAAGAGAAGAGGAGGAAAAGAAGAGGAAGAGGAGAAGAAGAGGAGGAGGAGGAGAGGAAGGAGAGGAGAAGAGGAGGAGAAGAGGAAGAAGGAGAGGAAGAGGAGGAGGAAGATGAGGAGGAAAAGTGTTTCTAAGGTCAGTAGTCAATTTAAAAGTGTGCAGCAACATATTAAGGTCTGGTCCACATGCTCGAGTTCTGCAGAGCACCACACAATCACTGCAGAGATGTCTCCCCACCCATCTCCTGGAAGGTGTCAAGCCACACCCTGGCTTCTCCACTTCTCCTCCATCCAAACCCTCAACAGGAAACTCATGTGGACCCTTTGCCACCTTTCAGATCATTGTCAAGCTCACTGCTGTGTCTGGTGTGTCACTGCCAAATGGAAGGGCAGGTGAGCCACGAGCCTCAGGTGCCTCAGGGTAGATGAAGGCCCGAGTCTGCTCAGCAGAAGTACACTGGCCCCAGAGGGATCATTCCCTGAGAAACGATTAACGCTCCTCTCCCATTCACTCTGAATCATCTGAGAATTATCCCAAGAGGGCCATTCATTGGTCATGCTCAGGGCTGCTTTTTAAAATTAAAAAATCAAACTATTGTGTTTGACTGTAAACATAAAAGACTGTGATCTATTGCCTAGGATGTAAAACAATCATTTTAAAAACCAAAACAAAGTATTTAAGGGCATCAGAATGAATCCTGATATAGTAAAAACTCAAACTCATTGCCATCAAGTCAGAAGAAACTCCTAGCTGATTCTCTCATGGGTTTCTGAGGCTATATATCTTACTGAAGAAACAGTCCATCTTTTTCCCAAGGAGCCACTAGTAGATTCAAACTGCCAGAGAGGTGTGGCTTTGGGGTCAGCAGTACAGCTTTCTATAGACTAGGCTCTCTACTCATCAGAGCGCCTCTGGGCACACCAGTACGTTGCTGTTGTAAAGAGCTGTTGAGTCGTTTGAGACTCATAGTGACCCTACGTCCAACAGCTGTGAACTCTGCTCTATCCTGAGAAAACCTTATCATCCCTAACACACCTTCCCTTATTACTGCAGTCATTGAGTCAATCCATCTCATCCAGGGTGTTCCTCTCTTGTGTTGACCCTCTCCAAGGACTGGGCCCTCCTAGCCAAAGTGTGTCAAATGGAGCTTCAGAATCATTGCCTCCAAGGAACAGCCTGGTTTCACCCTCTCCAGGGCAAACCTGTTTGTTCTCCCAGCAGTCGATGATATATTCAAAACTCTTCTCAAGCACCACAACTCAAAGGCATCAGTTCTATCATCCTCAGTCATTGTCCAGCTTTCTAATGCATGGCAAGTAACTGCGAAGACCATGGTCTGGATCAGGCACACCTTAGTCTCCAGACTGACAATGTTGCTCTTCCATACTCTGGAGAGTCTGACATTTCTTGGCTGCTGGTACCAAGAGTGTTGACTGTGGGGCCAAGCAAACTGAAGCTATTAATGATCTCAACCCAACAATGAGTGAACTGGAAATTACAAGGCAAAAAATAGTCAATGGTCTTGTCTGGATGACAAATTGATGTTCTTAGTTGCCACCAAACCAATTCTAAGTCAAGGCAACTCTAGTTTTCAACACTGACTTTTCAGAAGACAATTCCCTGGTCTTTTTTTCTGAGGTGCTTCTAGATGGGCTCCAACCACCAATCTTTCTGCCCAGTAGCCTACTGCTTAACTGTTAGCACCACCCAGGGACTACATTGTTATGGACCATCAAGTCAGACTCATAGCTGACTGTCAAGTGGGTTTTTAGAGGCTGTAAATCACATGAGAGGAGACAGCCCATCTTTCTCCAATAGAGCAGCAAGTGGAGTTGTACCTCACGCCTTTGGGTTGGCAGCACACCACCTTACCACAAAGCCACCAGACCTCTACCTAGGCTGTGTAGATGACTATGTAAGTGACAACTAAGAATGACAGGTTTTGGTGGGGTTGTTTGGGTTTTTTTCGTGAATGACAGGTTTAGGACTTCTTTTTCTCCCTCAATTTATCTTTGTGTTCTCTTATATACTGCAGGTTGATGTGCAATTTTGGTCAAATAAATTCGAACTCATTGCCAGCATATTGAAACTGATTCCGAGCTGACCTTCCAGTGGATTTTTTGAGGCTTCAGTATCAAAAGAAGATGGAAGGAATATACAGTCACTATACCAAAAAGAGTTGATCTACACTGAAAAATTTCAGCAAGTACCATATGAACAAGAACAAATAGTAACAGAGAATACATTCAAACTGCGTTGAAGACACTGGCAAATATTAGGTCCCAGGAATAGTTGGAATACAAATTGACACGTTTCAACTAATAGATGCAACCCTGGACATGCTCACCAGTCTATGCCAGGAAATCTAGAGAACAAGGGCATGGCTTACTGACTGGAAGAGATCTAGAATTGTTCCCATTGCTAAGAAAGGTGATCGAACAAAATGTGGAAATTATCCAACAATATCATTAATATCATGTGCAACCAAAATACTAATTTTCCAATAATAGCTAGAACAGTACATAAACAAAGAACTGCCAGACATTCAAGTTGGGGTTATAAGAGGCTATCACTGCTGATGTCAGATAGATTCTGGCTGAAAGCAGAGTACTAGAATAATATCAGTGTTTTATTGGCTGTGTAAAACCACTTGACTGGTGGACCATAACCCCAGAACACTAACTTGTGCTCATATGGAATCTATACCTAAACCAAGAAGCTGCTGTCAAAACCAGAGCAAGGGAACATTGCATGATTTAAAATCATGAAGAATATGTATCAGGGTTGTATCGTTTCTCTATACCTATTCAATTTGTATGCTGAGCAAACATTGAAGCTGGACTTTTTAAGAAGATGGCATCAGGATCAGAGGAAGACTCATCAACAAGATGCATAAAACAGATGACACAATCTTGGTTGCTTAAAGTGAGGAGGATTTAAATGCCTGTTGCAGAGGATCAAGGCCTACAGCCTTCAGTATGGATTATATCTCAGTTATCAAAAAAACAAAGGTCCTCATTACAGGCCCAACAGGCAACATCATGAAAGAGAAAAGACTGAAACTGTCAATGATTTCATCTTACTTGGATCCACAATCAACATCCTTTGTACCAGCAGTTAGGAGACCAGAAGCCATATTGATTTGGGCACATCTGCTATCAGGGACCCATCCAAAATACTGAAGGGCAATGTCAGTTTGAAGACTAAGGTCCACCTGATACAGGTCATGGTCACTTGCTAGGCATCTCAGTGCTGGACAATGAATAAAGATGACAAAAAATTGATGCCTTTGAGTTGTGGTGTTGGAGACAAATAATGAATAATCCAGAGATTGCCAAAGAACAGATAACGTTTTGGTAAAATTGCAGGGTGCTCCTGGAAGTGAGGATGGTGAAGCTTCATCTCACATACTTTAGACATCTTTCTAGAAGAAGATAATCCTTGGAAAGAGATGTCAGGCTTGGAATGGCAAACAATCAGCAAAAGAGAGGAAGATCTCCAAAAGGATGGACTGACATACTGACTGCAGCAATGGGCTCAAGTGTTCTCAGTCTCCTCCTTACAAACGGTTGTTGTTAGGTGCCAGCGAGTCAGGTATTACTAACAGCCACCTTGTGGACAAGACCGGAACCCTGCGGTATCCTGTGCCGTCCTCATCATCTTGGGTACATGAGTCCTTTGCTGCAGTCAGTATGTCTCTCAAGGAGTACAAGTGCCAGAGACGCAGCCTCTAAGTTTGCAACGCAACTCCATACGAACTAGAGAAAAGGTATTGAAAAATTAGTGCTCCCCAAGTGCCGAGCTCCACGAGGAAGAAAGACCTTCCCCAAGGGTGCGAGAGGACACTTGGGCTCTGTCAAGAGCTTACGCTGAGGCCTCGTGGATCTCTGTCCCGTCGTAGACGCCACATCCAGACAGAACCTGGTAAGAGAAAGCAGAGTTTGCGCGTGAACAACACCGGGAGGCGGGCCGCGCTCCAGGCCCCGCCCCAGACCACGCCTCCACCGGCCCCGCCCCCGCCCGGTGATCTTTCCCAGGCCTCCCGCGCTGGCGCTGTACACTCACCACTGCCACTCTGGCCCCAGGACACGGCGCAGAGCTGTGGAAGGCCGCCCGCGGGGACAGTGCCCGCCTGCCTGGCGACAGCAGCCTCACGCTGCCGGGGAGCGGCGCCAGCATGGAGGCAGCCACGAGCCTCGGTACGACACTGGCAGCAGCCATGACCAAGCCAGTGGTAACGGAGTCGGGAGGTCGCGCGTGCGCAGACTCGCAGGATGGCGCTCTGGCTGCCCTGGCGAGGGCCCGCCTGTGGGTGGAACCGCGCCTGCGCAGAATCATCTTGTGCTTTTCGGCGCTGTTCTCTTGAGCAGGTAAACGTGGATGGCAGTCTGGGAATGGCTGATCCTTCTCTTTGGTACTTGGGCCGTGTTCCCGTCTACCAGCCTGAGGCCCTTGGTGACGTTGGGCTATTCAATTGCAAAAGCAGGCAGGAAGCCGCCAAATTCTAGGCTCTAGTCCTTGTCTCAGCTTCTGCTCCTGTGTGATGTGCATTTGGCTTTGGCATCTCTATTCCCTATCGGCTCTCCTTGGCTGCGTGCTTTTTTGTTTAAACTGTTGATTGATTTAGCCCTGCTAACCCGAAAAGCGATGTCTCTCCAGAGCCTTGAATCCACCAGCAATTCCTTGACAAAAAGATGGGTAGTCTTCCGTTAAGATTTAAAACCTTAGAAAACCAGTATAAGATCACTGTGTAAAAGTTATCTCAGGACATTGTTTCAAGAGCCTACTTTAATCGTGCCTTATTAACAAAGCCACAACCCATTTCCCAATGGAATTATAACTAGAGGCATCTTTTTCATTGTCATGGCGTTAGAACATAAACTGAAATCTGCCTGTTATCCAGGGGTTCGGCTCATCTAACAACAGGACAAATGCTTGATTATTTCCTTTTATTTTCCAGCTTTTAAGTATATTCCCCCCCCCCCCTTGTTGTTGGCTTCTTTTCATTCCAATGCAAGTTACAGTCAGTCACTTCTGACATCTATTTTGGTGTTTTCTTCCCTTTGTTGGGCTTTTTTGGTTTTTTTTAATCTTTTATTGGTTTCCATATAATTCTTTTATATTGTTTGATACAGTCATTCATATACACTCTATATGATGTCTTCCACCACCTCGTCTGGTGTTCAGTCATTGGTGTTCAATCAACCGTTACATCCTTTCTCCATACCTATTCAATCCATATGCTGAGCAAATCATTCAAGAAGTTGGACTCTGAAGAGGAATGTGGTATCAGGATTGGGGGAAGCCTCATCAACAACCTGAGTTAGGCAGAGGACACAACCTTCCTTGCAGAAAGTGAGGAAGACTTAAGCACTCATTGCAAAAGATATCTCAGTATCAAGAAATAAAAATCCTGTGACAACAGTCCAGAATGAGGTGCATAGCAAAGTGAACTGGGGGAAGGGGTGGGGGGCAGAGAGAGGAAATTAAGCAACAATAAATGATTTTTTTTAAAAGTGAACTGGGGGTATAGGGAAGAAAATGTGCAACTATGAATGAATGAAAACTCCAACTTTTCTGTAAACTTTTGTTAAAAATAACAATTTTTTAAAAATAAGAAAAAGGAAATTAAAAATCCTTACCACTGCACCAGTAGGCAATATCATGAGATGGAGAAGACTAAAGTTGTCAATTACTTAATTTTACTTGGATGCAGTCTACACCCATGGGAGCAGCAGTCAAGAAGTTAAACAATATGTTGTACTGGGAAAATGTGCTATCAAGGACCTCTTCAAAGTGCTAACGAACAAGGATGTCAGTTTAAAGACTAAGGTATACCTGATCCAAGTCATGGCATTTTCAGTTCCTTCCTATATGAAAGTTAGACAATGAAGAAGACAGAATTGATGCCTTTGAATTGTGATGGTGGCACAGTACTGAATATCCCATGGATTGCCAAAAGAATAAATCTGTCAGGAAGAGCAACTAGTGTGCTTAGACACAAATATGGTGAGCCTTTGTTTCACTTACTTTGAATGTTTTATCAGAAGGAACAAATGCTTGAAGAGAGACATCATGCTGAGAAAGGTAAGCAAGAGAGGAAGACTCAACGAGATGGACTGACATGGTGACTACCCCAGTGGGCTTTAACAGGAAACAGATCTTGAGAATGGCATTGGACAGGACAAAGTTCAGACGTTGTTTATAGGGGTGCTTTGAGGCAGCCAACTTGATGGTACCTAAGAGCAGTAACAGAGATGACACTGGTTTGCCAGCATTCCCAGAAAGTAACCATAGTATTTTTAAGTAACTGTTACTGGGTTTACATTTTTGCTGTTGTTTCATTACAATGCAATTATTCTTATTGATACTCAAGTTGTCCATCCTTAACTGACTTCCACAGGCAGGAAGTGAAAACAATGTGAGAATACTGTGAATATTATAACAAAAGCAGTGCCTGGGATGTCACACTGCCCTTTTTCCAATTGCTGTGAATTACAGCTCTTAACTTTTTCCCCGCTGCTGGACACTGCTGTGAAGAACCTCTTCTCAGCTCCAAATCCTGAGTGGCACCTGGGGACTGAGATACGATTAGAGAGATTGCCATGGGTGGGGTGGGGGGGTGGGGAGATCACCAATTAGGCTCCAGGCTTCTTGTTGTATTGTTGTGTGCCATCAAATTGCTTGCAACTCATAGCGATCCTATGTACAAGAGCCCTGAATCCTGCTCTATCCTATGACAACTTTATTGCCTCTGACACACCTACTGTCATTACCCCAGTGCCTGAATCCATCCATCTCAGATGGTCTTCCTCACTTCCTCTGTCCCTCCACCGTTCCAAGCATGATGTCCCTCTCCAAGGACTAGTTCCTCCTTGCAACATGCCCAGAGTATGTCAGACGAAACCTCAGAATCCTTGTCTCGAAGGAGCAGCCTGGTTTCACCCTCACAAGGACAAACCTGTATGTACTCCTGGAAGTCACTGGTATATTCAACATTCTTCTCCAGCACCACAGCTCAAAGGCATCAATTCTCTATCAGTCCTATGCATTGTCCAGCTCTCTGACGCATAGCAAGCAATTGTGAGGACCATGGCCTGGATGAGGCATACCATAGCCTCCAGACTGACATCATTGCACTTCAGTAGATTTTCCCAATGCAATTTTGTCTTTTGATTTCCTGGCTGCTGGTACCACAAGTACTGATTGTGGAGCCAAGCAAACTAAAACTGTTAACAATCTCAGTCTCTTCACTCTCTGTCATAATGCTGCCAATCACCCAGTGGTGAGAATCTTTTGTTTTCTTGATATTGAACTTCAATCCACATTGAAGGCTGTAGTCCTTGGCCTTCTGCAGCAGGTGCTTTAAGTCCTCCTCAGCAAGCAGGGTTGTGTCATTTTCATAATGCATTCCTCCTCATACAGCCCAGCCTCCTGGATGATCTGTTCTGCATATAGATTGAAAAGAGACAGGATACATCCCTAGCATACACCCTTCCTGATTTTGAACCATGCAGTGTCTCTTTGCTCTGTTCTAATCACTGCCTCCTGGTCCAAGAAGGAAAATTATCTGCAACTTTGGTTTCTATTTGTGAGACAGAATAACTATAGTGGCACGCTCTCCTGTGCTTTCTTCAGAGGTGGCAGTCATCTGCTGGCATAATGGCTGCCCTCAGACCCCTGTTGAAGCCAAAGATTGTCAAAAAGAGGACCAAGAAGTTCATCTGCCACCAGTCAGTCTGTTATAGAGGCATCAACAACAGGGTTCAGAGAAGATTAAAGGGCCAGATCTTGATGCCCAACATTGGTTACAGGAGCAACAAGAAGACAAAGCACATGTTGCCCAGTGGCTTCCACAAATTCCTAGTCCACAATGTCAAGGAGCTGGAGGTGCTGCTGATGTGGAACAAATCTTACGGTGCTGAGATTATGCACAATGTTTCCTCCAAGAACCTCAAAGCCATTGTGGAAAGAGCAGCCCGGCTGGCAGTTAGAGTCACCAATCCCAAAGCCAGACTGCGCAGTGAAGAAAATGAATAGAAAGCTTGTTTGCATGTTTTATTTGTGCTAAATAAAACATAAAAACTGCCAAATAAAAAATTTCAACAGACAAGTGAATTAACAAGTCAAGAACTGTTAATAGAAAAACACCCAGCACAAAGGAGATTCTTAATAAAGACATGTTTATTGACTGGTTTTGGTTTGGTTTTTTTTAATTGTTAATAGAGAAAAGAGTTTTTAGGAACTAAGAGGTGGGTGGGTGGAAACAATTCAGTTGGAGACAGGCAGGGAGGTCCAAGATCATCTATACCAGCACCTGTCAGCCTTGACCCCCATGGAAGCGGCCAGGCCACCACACCGCTCTCACCCACAGCCTCCTCTAGGTACTCCTGTTCGTTCCCCCGGACACATCCCTACATCATAGGTAACCACTCTGTCAGCAGTTCACTGAGGCACAGTCCATGCAGTCATTTCCTATTTCATTTCTGGATCCCAATTACTGAGTGATTTAATGGAAACGCACCTCAATCCACCAGAAGCCCAGCATCACTGTTCAAGGTCAGGTGTCCTTACTTCTTAAGAGAGATAACACATACAGGGTATCTGCTATAGCAGGGCACTGGAAAATCATGGAAAGGCTAGACTTCCATTTCTGAAACCCAGGGCAGCCACCCCCTTGCTCCTACCACAAAGGACACCTCAGATATCCCTGGATACGTCCAGTCCAAGAGCACACGCTGCCCTCTGGGGATGTCAGGATTCTGGGTTCCTAGATAAAACCTGTGGGTCCATCAGAACAAGGTACCCCAGTCACCAACAATCTGGCTCAAATGCAGAAACTCTCTCTTGGGGCTGAGATGCTGCCTCTGTACCAAATTCCTCAGTGCAGCTATTTCAGGCCTTGTTTGTGCAGACCAGAGGCAGAGGCCACCACCCACTGTGACACTATCCCCAGGTCTGCCTGGCCCCTGGCTTTAGAAGCCACCTTCAGAACTCTAGGAAGGAGCAGGAGGGAGAGGATAGCCCAGAATGCACCAAGAGGGGAGGGGGGACAGCCCTCTGCTGGGATCACAACCTCATGCAGGTTGCCCGGGGCCATGATGACTAGGATGGGGTAGGAGTGTTTCACTGGTTCTGGTTTCATCCAGAGATACACATGCAGGGCGGGGGTGTGTGTGTGGGGGGGTGTAGCCCTGATTATTCTGAGGCTCCTCACATCCAGGACATATTTAGAAATAAGTTTAATTTCATTTAGACTTGATTTATATTTACATTTAGAAATTCCCATTGTCTTCAATTTAAATCCATCATCAAAAGTCTGTAAAAAAATATAAATAGCTCTCAAAGTCTGTGCGGAACACATGGACCTATTTCAAGGCATTATTTCATTGACAGGTTTCCCCACACACTCAAAGTTCTATCCCCATCAGGTGCTGCCTGAAACCAAGTGGATGTGGACCGCTTCCGGAGCAACGTGTGTGTGCTGGTTCCCTGCGAGGACAGCAAGTCTCCTGCATCCACTTTCCAGGGCTGAGAGCCTTGGACAGACACACCGGCCAACGCTGACAAGTCTGACATGGCTGGTGCCACAGCTGTGCCACCTCTACGGCAGCATCGATTCTTTGTCTTCTTCACCTGTTCCCACCAGCAGATGCAGGCTGTCCTCATCGCCATCAGACAAAGCCTCCTCCTCACTGCCCAGTGACTCCAGGGGCCGCTTCACACCCCTCTGCTTGGACACAGCCAAAGCATAGCGTATGTTGTAGCGGTTCCAGTCGCAACTGTCAGAGACACGGGAATTGCCCATCAGTGAAATAGCAGCAGTGTTTATGTGACCAGGAGCCCCAGCCCCCCCACCCCACCCCACCCTGGAGCCACCATCTCCTGCCAGACTGGCTCTGGCTCTGAATGCCATCCCAGGAAGGAGACCCCTCAAGTTAGCAACCAAAGTATCCAATGTGAGGGAAACACACAAGTTGTCCACTGGTGCAGACAGTCCCAGCACCTGGTAAGCCCACACCATGCTTGGTCCTGGAAAAATGCTAGTTCTGAGCAAAAATTCTCTGTGTGTAGATTAGCACAACCCTAGTCTCCACCCTCCAGTGGCCGAGTGGTAAGAGACTGTGCTTCAATCTCAAAGGCATACAGTTAAAATCCACCAGCAGGCCCTGCAGGGGAAATATGGGCAATCTGATGCAATCCCATCTGAAAACCCACTGGAAGATCAGTGTGTTGGTTCCAACTTGACGGCACACGACAACAATAGTCTGCACCTTAGGGCCTTGCAGGAGGAGGGAGCTTGTTCACAATATTAAGACTGGGCCAGAGGCAAGGACGGACAGCAGGGCCTGTCCACCCAACACTGGAGCAGGGGTAGGGTACACAGTTCCAGGGCTGGGACAGCGAGACAGGCTAGAACCTGACGGAACCTGTTTTGCATCTCACATAAGGAATAACAGGAGAGGGGAGAAGGTCTCACAGCAAGAGCCTGACCCTGTGGCAGCTGGAACCCAGCCCTGCACGCCCAGGGACAGCAAGTGCACTAACTACCCTGAAGATGAAAATGGGATACGGGGTGCTCTCAGAGCACTTCTATCACCCCATCCTCCTCTGAGAGAGTCAGAGCAGCCACATTTCTGTGAGTGTGAGGTGCATCGCAGCTGCAGGTGCTCGGAATGGCAGCCGGTACACCTGGAGTCCTGCTGGGTGACCCTGGTCAGTCTCAACCCTCCTTGCACCACCCACACCGTCCCTTCCGGCCCAGGTCAGATGGCACTTACATCTTTGAGAGGTCATCAAGGTGCCGCTGAATGCTCTTCTGCAGGAACTGCACGGCCGGCAGCAGCGCCCCTGCCCTGTGGAGGAGGACAATGTCACCTTGCTCCATATGTACACGCCACCCACCCCCTGCGGGCCAGCAGGCAGCGCACGGCCCTCACCTGGCCTTCAGCTTCTGTCCGTGCTGCATGAGCAACTGCTGCGTCCACAGGAGGTAGAACTCCAGGTGGTGAGACACCTCAAAGGAAGAGGCAAGAAACTCCAGCACCTTCTCGACGTACACCTCAGGCAGCGAGGAGACGACAACCTTGACTGGAGGAGAAAAAAAACCACCCAACATGCTCATCCCACAGAAAGCCTAAAACGGAAGATGAGGACGTGCGATCCCTCTTCGCGTGGGAACATCGCAGGGCCACCGCGCTGACTCACCCTCATCCTGGGGTACCGACTCCAGCGCCTCCTGAATGAGCATCCGCTCGTTGAGCCGGAAGGCCATCAGGATGGCCTTGGTGAAGTCCCGCTGGCGCAGCACGGTGCGAATCCGGCTGGGCGTGATGCTGGTGTCCAGCTCGAATGGGTCGAAGACCATGCGGGCATCCAGGGAGTAGATGAGCAGCCCCTCGGTGGTGGTGGCCGCCCAACAGCGGCCTGGGAACAGGCAGAAAAACTCAACATCACTGTTTCCTCATTTTTAAAAGAAAATGTAGTGGATCCCATAACATGGCCTCAAATACAAAAAGGGATAAAGGAAGAACTTCCTATCACCCCGTCCTCAGGCACTCAGACTCTCTCTGAAGGGACTGACTGGTCTTACCACTTTCACAGAAGTTGTGCAGAGCTATTTAATGAATGTGAGCTTAAACAGAGACACACGTCCTCTGTTCTCCAGCTTTACCAAAGCCCAGGGAGTACACATATTTGGCTTTGTAGCAGGACAGCCTCTCTTATAACCACTCAACTTTGGCTTTGGGCCTCAAAAGCCACCACATACAAAATGTGGAAGTGAGAGAGGCACAGCAGTCCAGCTGTGTGCCTGACAGACACAGTGGTGGTCCATGTGCCCTAGGCTACGTCCACGCCTATGTGTTGGAGAAGAAGCCACACTGCTCCCCACGCAGCACTGTGTCGACTCTATGGAGGGACCTAAACCAAGGGCTGGGGGCCAGAGCCCTCTCCTCAGACTTCTCAGAGAGCTGTCAGCTTGGAAACCTATGTAACAGGGAGGAGTGACCATTCTGCCTCCTGACAGTCAAAGATGGAAAAGGGCAGAGACGGACTCTGTGATCAGCCCCATATGGACAGGTCCTCTCTAGTAATGATGCACCCTTGAAAAGCTTGGACGTTTGAGATGGAGCCTTCCGGCCACACCACACACTTACAAATAGGGACAGGCAGCTGCTGCAGCCAGAGCAGTTCAGAACTGTCACATTCTGACTTGAACCACAGCCACTGTACTCCCCCTTGTCCCACCCTCCGACTGTGGACAGCCTGCCAGGGGTCGGGGGCTCACCTGTGGGGGAGAAGCGGAGCGAAGTCACTCTAATCTCAGGTTTAAAGTGCCGAGAGCTCATGTCACCTGGGGAAAGAGCCCACACAATTACCAACACATTTACTAGAGGCATGTTCTGCACCTCCCCACCCAAGAGAACCTCCTGGGAGGCTCTGGGGTAGACAGCCAAAGGGACTGTCCCCTGCCCCACCTCTGACACCAACACAAAGCAGGAAGTGTTTCCTGTCCAGTGCATGCTGCTCGTCACACATGCCATTACCCCTGCGGGGTAAGATTCACACCCCATGGGGTAAACAGTCAAGAAGTCTGTTCCCAACTCTGCTCCAGCCACCAGGCCCTTCAGAGAGGCCTCCACCTGATGTCTGTGTATGTGCCCCAGGAATATTTTCTCTAAGGATCTCAACCGGGCCTGACTGACACTTTAAAGAGTTCTGTCATGGGTTTTGTTCTGCAGGACTTTCAGCTTGTCTCCCTCCTTTCTACCCTCATGTTGAGCGCACTGGTGGGGTCAGGCCAGGCCAAGAGCCTTGGGCTGTAATGAGTCCTCAGGGAGCAGGATTCCTAGGCCTGCCAGGCAAGGAGGGAGAAGGATAACACCAGCCTTGGTCTCACCACTGACCCAGCAACTGGCCAGTTGTGGTCAGAGCTCCTGGACTTTATAAATATGCACCTGTCCCCTCCGTCCCTCATGAACAAAGCTATGCTCACCCAGAAGTGTGGCCCCTAGCTTAGTCCAAACCCCAAGAGGCAGCCACAGGGCACTCGGGAGCCCCACTCACCTTTTTTTACACCTGGCAGAGGTACTGCAACCCCGTCTTCCTCCCCAGCATCCTGATCAATCAGTGCCAGGTTGCCAAACTCTGTCATTTTCCTCCGGTTCAAAAATTCCTGGAACAGCCAAAGCCATGATCTCTCACCTAATGATACTGGCGCCAATGATTCTGCCACCTTGCACCATCTCTTCCCGCTTCACGTGCCTCCAACACCTATTTGCTGCAGCGTTTCCCTCCCGGGCCACAGCATGCCTGGCAGGACCCGTCTCTTGCCCCCTCTCCTGCCTACAGCTGTGGCCTGGTCCCCCACATGACAGACCACCCACTGCCTGGCTCCTACACAGCAGGGTGGCTCCCCAACCACGTCAGATCCAAACTGATACTTAGGGTCTGGCTGCCCCAGGACACACCTCCATGGCATCCAGAGAGTGGTTGCAGGAAATCTCAAACTTCTTTACGAGCATCTGCTCCTTGACATGATAGATGCAGACAAACTTGGACATGCCTCCTGCCAGAATGTTCTGGCCGTCCGCGGAGTAGCACAAGGTGGTGAAGGACCTGGAGAGAAGGTAGGGCAAAGTCACACCCCGTGAGGCTGACATGCAGTCCCTTTGGAACTCAACTTTAGGCAGCAGAGAAGATGCTGGGGCACATGCACTGACTCAGGGTAACGCTCCAAGGCTGACTGTCCGAACCTCACGTGGGGAGGCCTGGAACCACCACAGCCTGCACGGCTCCACCCGCCTGGCTCCGGTTCTCATAGTCAACACAGCACATGAGCAGAACAGGACAGGCATATGGCACCCTAGAAACAGCAGCTTTTCCACAAAGGAACAAGAGGGTCAAGTATCAGCAACTCCTTACTGCTGTGAGGTCAGAAAGGCAGCGGGTTTGCCCGCATCCTCAAAGCCACTCCCTCACTGGCGTGCACATGGTCCTGCAGAAACCAGATCGAGGGCCCTCATGACCCTGCTCAGGGCGCAGAACAGCAGCCAGGGGTCAGACAGGTCCCCAAACAGGAGAATAAAGAAGGTACAAACGGGACTTGGACCAAATACAAAAACACTTGTGTAAAGGACATCATCAAGAAGATGGGAACAAAAGACACAAACAGCAAAGACATGTCTGAAGATGATGTAAATCATGTATCTGATAAAAGACTGGCATCCAGAGTATAAAAGCCTTATGCAGTCACTCAGCTAGGGGTCGGTTCTGTCTCACCAACACACAACAACAATGCAGTGAAGTAAAAATAATAATAATAAAAGATGAACAAAAAGTTAAAAAGATCTTATTCTAGAGAGATACAGGAATGACTGATAAACTAAAAACACTTCAAAATAACACCACCAAACCTCCACTCAGACTGATAATAACAAGTGCTGGGGAGGATGTGCAGAACTGCCGAATTCCCTGGCTGGGGGTGGGCAGAGGGGGGAAGGCAGGATAGCGCCATCCTTGGGAAAAACAGTGGACAGTTTTTCTCAAAAGTTAAGCAGATGCCCAGCAATTCCTCTCCTAGATATATTCCCAGGGCAGAAAGAAAGCAGAAACACAAGATGCTTCACAAATGTGGATTTTACAGTGTGTGAATTATACCCACAAGCTGTTAAAGATACTTGGGTCCAACAGAAGGAGCACAGATCGTGAAGCCTGAGAGGCCTCAATGCCCACTGAGCCTGGCTCTCTGAAAGCTGCCTCCTGTGTGAAGGGAGGCCCCTACATGCCCAACACTCAAACCTGCCCTAAATGGGACAGCTCATTTCCTCAACTGGAGAAGCCACAGTGCCAGCCCACAAGCTCAGTACTTTGGCAAAAATGCAACTCAGGTCAGAGGGCGCTTCATCTGCATTCTAGCAACAAATAGTTAAGCCCCAAGCAGACCACCAACACATTTGCTCCACTGTCCCACCTGGCCACACACAGCCACAGAGCATGAGTGCGGTGTGACTAAGAACTTGGGCAGCACCCGCAGCAGGCCCGAGGCACCAGGGGTCAGAGGGATGGATGCAGATGTCGTAATGCTGGCCTCTAGTGGGACCAGCCCGCACCCTAGACACAGCATGCTGACCAGGCTGAACCTGGGGCCACTGGAAGATGCTCAGCAGTGGGCTTACATAGTCAGGTGCCAGGTGGTGGTCTCCAGTGTTAAATATGACACTACTGTGTGACCAAGTGGCTTCAATGAAACCCACTTGCACTTCGCAAGCCCAAGCCCTCTCATGCTGGCTATCAGGCCTGAAAGCTAAGCAGGACAAAACCCTTTTCTCTTAGCCACTCAGACTAATCACAGGAGCCTGGTAGTCTGAGAATTGAAGGATTATGCCACAAAGAACCCATCACGGGACCCGCAGACCTAAGAAGAACCTAGAGCCACAAATTTGACAATCACAGGGGAGTGACCCAGTCAAGGGCCCTCAGGACCCGTACGGCTCCCAGTGTGACACTCACTTCCCCTTGGCAGAATGCTTGGCCGTGATCTTGTCCAGCTCCTTCCTGCCTGCTCGGAGGTCATGCCGGCCTTCGATGGAGCCCGTCTGCACTGCATTCTCGGGGTCCCAGAAGGTGATCTGTGAGTTCAACGTGGCCACGGCCAGCTGTGCACCGTCAGGGCGGAAAGTCACAGCCAGCGCTGCAGAAAGGAGACTCAAGGTGAAGAGGCCCTGGCTCACAATCTGGCCAGGACCTCGCCCGTCCTCCCACTGCAGCATCAGGAACTAGTGAGTAACCCCAGGCTGGGGGGGGGGAGGAGGCTACTCCACTAAATGCTCCTCCTAAGAGACGCTCAAGACCAGAACCAGGGGGACAGTCCCCTGCCAAGCTGGCCCTGCCTGGAGAGACAGAAAAGGAGAGATGAGGCTGAGAAGCAAGGGCCGTGTCCAGTGAATAACTCAGGGCCTGTAAAGCCTGGATCTGAGCTGGCTAATGCTGGAGGCAGACTACCACAGAGAGCCCAAAGGCACTGTCAGCACCCTTCTCCATGAAGGGTGAGCATCTGGGCTTTGTGGGTCACATGGCCTCTGTCAGAACAGCACAGACACACATATATAGCAGGCCCGGCTATGCCTCAATGACGTAATTTGCAAACAGAAGTGGTGGGCTGGGTTTAATATACACCTGCTGTTTTCTAAGCCCTGGACTAGTCCCAGGATGAAGTGACACATGAAGTCAGACCCCAAGGTAAGGTGAAGAGGCCAGACTCCAAGCTGCCTCACCCACATCCACTTTGTTCTAACCTCGGGTCCTTCAAATCACAGTGTTGGCCACTCAATGCAGACAGTGGCTGAAGCCCAAAGGCAATTCTACGGAGCAAGAGAAAACTGCCCCACCCAGGAATAGGCAACCCAGGCCTCGTGTAAGCCCCAGGGAAAAGAAGGCCTCTCTGTGCGCCTGGCTGCCCTGCATGGAGGGGACCCTGGCCATCCTCCATGCCCACAGCCTGACTGAGTAGTGCTGGATGTACTGATGAGCCCTCACTCCTAACACTCACTGTCAGCACCCTATTTGGGACCATCGTCCCAGCCCTTGCGAAAGCTTACCATCGGAGGTCAAGGCTAGCGTCTCCTTGGTCTGCCAGCTGTCAAACATGTCCCACAGCCGTACCGTCTTGTCCCAGGAGGCACTTGCCAGCACTGACTTGGCTGGGTTGAAACTCAGACCGCTAATAGGCCCTTCATGTCCAGACAAAACCTATGGAGGTGCAGAAAGGAGATGAGGCAAGGGGAACCCGAGTAAAAATGACGAGGCCCTCCGGAGGCTCCTGGCTACCTGCCATACACGTGGCACCCCAGCAGCCTTGGCACCTGGAACCAACTGGGATCGGGTGGTGCTGGGGAAGAGGAGGAACAAGGTCTATGTACGAGTGTGCCAGGTCTGTCCTGGGGACGTGTGCCCAAACCATGAGCCCTCTCCCAGGACCCCCCCAGGGCACTCACGTCCAGGAGCCTGCCAGTCTGCATGGACCAGATGAAGACCTCAAAGGAATCGTGGGCACCAGCAGCGACGATCTCACCACTGGAATCCACAGCCACGCAGGAGAACTGCGTCGGGCGTGGGGAAGTGAAGGTGCGGAAGTTGCGGTACCTGTCAGGAGAGGGGATCACGGGCCTTGGTCACATCTGATGTCACTAGCACCCCATGTAAATGAGAGAGAGGTGTCATCCTACTTGTTTGATGTCCCCATTCCAGACGGGCCTGAAGCCCAAACGTCCCCATATCTGCCCACAGGAAGTCAATCTCCAAAGCAAACTGGTTACCTGTGCAGGTCGAAGGCACGCACAGTCCCATCCATGGAGGAGGTCACGATGACATAGCCTGTGGCCGTAAAGGTCACATCAGTGACCCCACTTGAGTGATCCGTGAAGGTGATAAAGCAGAAGCCACTGAGTGTATTCCACACCTTGACCTGCGACAGGTGGCACGTGAGTTGCAGGTGACTGCCACTGCGACCCCAAGGCCTCCGCCCACTGTGGGAATGGCCCCACTCTCTGCTTCCTGGCCCTCTGACCTCCAGCCAAGCTCTCCTCGTGCTGACCCGTGGCCCTTCCACCAAGCTCTCCCCATGCCAGCCTCCCATCCTAGCCCATGTGGGTCATGGTGTGTGAGGTCGTATGGGGATTACCTTGCCATCGTCCCCACCGGTGACGATGTACTGTCCATTGGGCGAGTAGGCCAGTGTGACCATGCTGTTGAAGTGGCCCTGCTGCTTGAGCACGTAGGACTCGCTCTGCCATTCCCACACCAGCAGCTGGCCCAGCCCTGTGTACACACGCCAGTGACTCATCACCTCCACCGTGCAGGCCAAGCAAGCCCTCCCCAAAGCAGCGCCCCAGGGGAAAGGAGGAGGTGGGGAGCCACAGTGGGCTGTTTCCTGGCGCCTAGAGGGCCAGGACCGAGGCCTAAGGCCAGAAGGGCTGTGAGAGCGTGAAGGGGGTGTCATGACAAGCTCAGAGGTCTGAGGAGGGTTCACTCCAAGTGCTTCACACCTTTCCCTCCACATGTCAGCCACCCAACTACACCATTCTGATCACATCAAGAATGTGCTAGGTCACACACAGCTGAGACATGTGGGAAGGAGGCCTAGGCTTGCTCTAAATGTCAGTGCTCCAAACATATCCCTCCACACTCCAGGCCAAGGATCAGGGCCCCCAGGACTCAAAGAGCCCTGGGCCCAATCTTCCCTTAAGGCCTCTCTGCCCTGGTAACTGGGCCCGGGTCTCGAGGTCCTGCAGAGAGATGGTCCTCAACTCTGAAGTGTTCTATGGCCTCAGCCTGGAGAAGAGACAAACCTGAGCATCCAAAGGCGATCCAATCCCCTGTATTGTTGAGAGCAATGGACGAGATCCTCTGATCAGAAATGCTGTGGGGAGAGCAGCTGCAGTGAGCCCACTAGCCAGGAGTGCCTCACAGCCCAGGGCGCCTCACAGCCTGGACAACCTCACAGCCTGGAGAGCCTCACAGCCCAGAGCCCTCACAGCCCAGAGCCCTCACAGCCTGGAGAGCCTCACAGCCCAGAGCCCTCACAACCCAGAGCCCTCACAGCCCAGAGCCCTCACAGCCCAGAGCCACCTCAAAGAGTGGATCAGGTTGAACTCCGGGAGCTCGTGCAGATGGAAGGTTCCAGAAGCAAAGCCAGTAACCAAGAGATGGGTTTTCTTGTGATATGCTGCAGCTGTCAGATTGTTAAAATCACCTTCTTTGTTGAAAAAATACCTGAAAGGAAGAATTGCAGCAAGAGGGATAACAGCACCTGCCTCGCCCTGCCCCAGTATCCAGTACCACTGGGGGACTCCCACTGTGCTGGCCTGTCTCATCCTTGGAGTGACCTGCTCACTTCACACTCTCATTCCTGCCCGGTGCCCATGTAATTGCCTGTGCCAGCCTTCATGACACAGGCTCAGAGCACCAGGGCATCTCCTAGGTGACACCCAGACACTCCCACCAGACTTGGTAAAAGCCCACCGCTCCTCTTCCTCTCTTCCACCCTTCCTCCTTCTCAGAAGCGGCCAGGAGAGGTGAGCACGCCCCACCCACCACGTCACTTTCACTTGCCCTCTGAAGGCCTGCCCCTCCTCAGCCTCCGACTATCCTTGCTGTAAGGCCCAGAGACTCTCAACAACAGAGGTGTACCCCTTCTCCTCCACCCTCGGCCCCACTCCAGTGTTGCTGGTCCCTCTCATGACTGTGCAGTTAACTGCAGCCTCTTCCTCACCCAGGGTCCACAGTGGCACCTAGATCACAGGGCACCCACAGAAACTGGCTGCTCCCCACCTGCACCATGCTCAAGCCTCCCAGACCCCCTGTGCCCACGATGGGAGACGCACTTGGCCAGCCGTGAGTACTTGACTTTCCCTTTCTTCTCCTCCTCGGTGGGGGTGGCAGTGCCTTGCACAGTGGTCCCCTTCTCCCGGTCCTCGTCATCCTCCATGCCCTCATCCCGTCGCAGCAGGTCCGCCCGCCAGCCTCGGGGGGCCATCAACCGCAGGCCCTCTGGGGGGGTGTCACACTGCCACACGCAGAGGGCTCCATCCTGGCTCAGTGTGTACAGCTGCCCAGGAAAGCACAAGGGTGACTGGGGGTCACAGTCCCTGCCTGTCACTGCCCTGTGCTCTGCACACCTCCGCCCATGTCCGTGTGCTGTTCTGTCTAGGTTAGGCGCACAGCACGAGCGCTGCTATAGCCTCCACTGTACCTGGGAGATCTCCCTCTTAGTTCTACATATCCCCCAGGGCCCAGAGGACAGGGTATTATGCAACTGTTTCCCCAGGGAGGAAGTGCTGGCAGCAGGCATGCACTGTGCAGTAACGTACATCCAGGCTGGAAGACTCAAAGAAGCAGGCTACGATGGCATCCTTGTGTCCCCCCAGCGCGTAGTAGATGAGGTTGTCCCAGCGTTCAGCACCAAACACCCAGGTGGACATGTCCTTGCTTCCCACAACGAAGCACCTGCAAAGGAAAGAGGTGGCTCGTCCTCAGGCTCAGCACCTGAGGAAAAGTCACTACCTGCTCTCTGCAGAGTGTGTGAAGACTTCAACTGCCATGGTCTCAAGGATGATTCCAAGGTGACTCCACAGCCCGGCACAGGTGACCCATGAGCCATTTGGACTGCAGCCGCACCTATCTGCTGCTGATCCTGGATCACAGGAGCCTCAGTGCACGTGTCACCATCCCTCACCTGCAAAGCAGTGCCAGGTGCTGGGCCTCACTAAAGGAGGCAATATTCACACACAGCGAGCCATGGACTCAGGCATATCTGTCCATGGCTAAGGGAAGGCGCTTACTCCAAAGAACAAAAGAGTTTTCCACTATAATAAAGAAGTCCAATCCCCAAGACTCATATCCAGGGTAAAACAGGCTTATTTCCCAGGGGGAAGGGGCAGCCATGTGGTTCAGTGGACATGTCATCACACGTGACTGCGGACCAGCTATAAGCTGCGTTGTTCTCATGCTAGGCCAGGGTCCAGCAGGGTACCAAGGTTGTGAGTGGACACATTGACAAGAACTTTAGCCAGCAGCTGCCTTTCAGCCCAGACAGATGAGGTCTGTACAGTATGTGGGGCTCCCTGAGGGGCATCACTGAGGCCCTGGGCAGGGGTACTCCCCAAGCTGACACGATGAATGCACAGCTGAGCTGTGGGGAAGAACCACCCGCCTTCCTGCTGACCACCTTCAGGTCAGGGGTCGGCTGAGCAGACTCGCAGGTACCTGCACTGATGGACAATCATTCCCCGCCAATGACTGAGTCAGCTCTTGTTTTCCAATGACAACCGTCATGGGGATTGCTGTACTCAGCCCCAATGAGGCTTGCAAGGTAGCATTTTAAAACAAAAATTCAGCCTTAACTCCTGTTGTACCCCTCCACAGGCCACCCACCCACAAGAGCCCCACCTGGAGTCGTCTGTCCAGTCAATGCATGTGGTCTCATCATATGGCCCAAAGTAGGTCTTGTCCAGCACAAAGGCGTTGAATTCTCGCGTCTTGCCAGGTGCGTGGTACATCTGGGCAATGTTACCCTTGGTGATGACAAACTTCCTGAAAGGAAGCAGGGTCAGTCAACACTCACACTTACGGCAGGAGACCCCGGAGCATCTCGGACTCTGGCAGCTCCAGGTGGCTCTGTAGCCAGTTTCTCACCAGCACAAGGCTGGTGGCTGGTCCCCTGGGCCTCCTAGGACCCACTTCCTCCCCATACTGGATGGAGGCAAAGAGCTGGAGAGCGGAACATGTCAGACCAGGAGATGGACAGATAAGCTCATGGACTCAGTGACCAGCAATACAGACACCTGGGGTGCTGGGTCTAACTAATGGGTAGTCCTCTTTACATGTCATGTATTGAGTCTCGCTAATGGGTAGTCCTCTTTACATGTCATGTATCTGGACACAAACAGTCCCTGGGGAACTAAGCATGTTCTGGGTGACTCCACTTGCAAAGACCTCAGGAAGCTTGCGCCTGGTCTACGCAAACCTGCCCCAGCTGCCCTTCCCCTGCTGATTTTTCGGTGTATCTTTTTGCTATAACAAATTCTATTCAAGATAATGACTATTTCCGAGTCGTGTGAGTCCTCTTACTAATAACCAAAACTAAAGATGGTCCTGGAGACCCTGACACACCAGCAATACACAGGCTAGTACTGCTGTAGACTCCCAAGGCAGTGCAATCCCTTCTGGAATGTAGACATTAAATCTCAAATGTTACCAACACAACATCCATGAGCCCAGAGTGGGAGGAGCTGAGCAGAGCCAGCCCTGGGGGGATGGTGCCAGTGCCAGCTGAGCTCCCTACCTGCCATCCGGGGAGAAGGACACACTATGCACAGAGCCTTTGAAGTGGAAGTGGTGAAGCACCGATTTGCAGACCAAGCTGACCAACAGGGCATCACCCCCTGCGAGAGAGAAGACACAGGAGTCATGTTTTTTGGCTCTGAGAGCAGCAGACCCCTTGTCTCCCACTACCACAGATACACGCTGCAGAAACCAGTGTGGACATGATGGGCCGCTCCTCATCCTCACCTTGAGAACGCTATGTTAGGATGGAATCTGTGTGTACCTAGAGGCCTCCCCTCCAACTGCAGCACCTACACACAGACCCTCTGGGGCTAAGGTCTAAACACTCATCATCCTCTTGGACCCCTAAAGCAATCACACACCTCTGTCTGATGAGGAAGCAAGTGGGAAATTGTTGAAGGAGACACAGCCAGAGGTAAGGCAAGCCAGGACTGTGCTATGCCAACAGCAGTCTCTACGTTCCCAGCAGTTCACACAGGGCCAGGCCCACCTGACAGCCATCCTCAGCCCTCTCCAAACGAGGACTCTAGGTCTGCCTGATAAGACATCCTCACTCCTCTCGGAGTCACGGGGACACAGGGCCCACAGACAGATGTCCTCATCCTTCTCCACATCCCATCACACGGTGACCACACTGAGACCTTGCACCCATCTTAAGCTCCGTCTTGTGCCTCACACAGACATTCCTCTCACTGCACGTCTGCTGCTGTCATTCTCACCTGCCCACCACGTCAGGGCAGGACAGTCCCACATCTGCCCTGCTGTGGCTCAAGGCCATTACCTTCATCCACGATGATGGCGAGGCAGCCATCCGGAGAGAGCCCTACACACTTGACATTGTACCGCGTGGCCAGCGGCAGGGTGTCCGACTTATTGCTGCAAAACAAACCACAACAGGTGATCGAGTGCGTGACATGAGCCTCTGCCCAGCAAAGTCATGTGTCCATGCCACATACCGTCCATCCCTCCCAATCACCAGGGGCAAGAATAAAGGGAGACAATACAATGTCCTTGGCAGAGATTTGGCAAAAAATAGCGTGTGCTTTAAGCTGTTGTTGTTACATTTCACCAAGTTGGAACTAACCCATAGCTGACTCTTCAGCAGGTTTTCAGAGGCAGTAAGCTGAACAGCGAGGAGACTGTCTTTCTTTCTCCCACTGAGCAACTAATGGATTTGAACATCTACCTCCAGGTTGGCAGCGCAACTTCTTACCACAGCACAATTTTACCTCTAGGACTGTCCCATATGAATGATACATGTCTAATGTCATAAATCTGGTAACAAGCTAGAGGTCCAAGGCAGGGGATTAACCATAATGACAGCACCTCCTGGGACACTGTGCTTATAAAGACATAAACTTCAGAAATTGGTACTCATTTTGGTTTTCTCCTTTCTCTTTGCAAGTTTTCGTTAGCAAAAACATAGTGGTGATGATTGTTTTCTACCTTTGAGTTGAAACACAACCATATTTGACCCACTTGTGGGTTTTCAGAGGCAATAAACTGCACAGGAAGAGACTGATCATCTTTCTCTCACAGAGCAATTGGTAGAGTTGAACCAACTGCCTTTAGGGTGGCAGCGCAACTCTTTACCACTAAGTCACCGGAGCTCTCTGTACACAGTGGTAGATACTGTTTATTTAAACACAATGAGAGCAGCAGTAGCAGCAGCTGACCCAAACACTCCCTGCACCAGGACTGCTCACAGACCACTGCAGCCACAGTGAGCCCTGCGAGGTGTGGCCCTGGGTGGGCTCTGCCTGCCCTCCATCACTGTGCCACATCCCCACTGAGAAGGCTCACTGACACAAACAGCAGCAGCCCTGGCTGCCAGGCTCCCTTCCCTCCAGCAGGGCTCCAGACTGTGACTTCTCCATGCTGCACAGCCGGGCATATGGAGAAATCAGTAGTGAAGCACATTCGAGGTGAAGCCTTGACATCATACCCCCTCTTTCTGCAACCCAACCCCACAAGTTCTCCCCAAGAAGGCTCAATGCAGATTGGCCCTGTAAAGGCGGTGTCATGACCTGGATACCCATTGACACCACACACCTTCCACCACCCTCTTTGTGGGGCTGCCTTCCAAATCCTGAAAGTGAGAGTGACAATCACTTAGCAGCTACACCATAATGAGGAGGAGAGGAAAACAGCTTCGAGACTCACAGCTGGCTTTTCTGTGCAAGTCCTAACTGTCACTTTTCAGATAATTTTTTTTCTTTTTCTTTAATTCTTTTAATTGCATACTGGTTTATTTACAAAGTTCAAATGCATTGCTTTTCACACTGTAACTTTCCCATTACCTTCACTCCCCCACCCACCCAATTGTAGGATCCTTTGATTAACACCACCCCCCTCCCATCTTATCTTCATCCTTCTGCTTCTACCCTCCCCAACTTAGAGCTTCATATTCATTTATTAATAATGGTTTTATACAGTATTTGTCCTTGTGGGACAGAGTTAATTCACTCAGCATAGTGCTCTCCAGTCCCTCCCAAGTTAGGTATAATTTACAAAATCATTGCTACTGTGTGCTGCATAGTACTCCATTGTGTGAATGTAATATGATTCCCTAATCTACTCAATTATGTTTAGACAACTAGTCTGTTTCCATGTTCTTGTGATGGTGAATAAATCAGCTATAAACATTGGTGTACAAGTCTCCATTTGTGCCTTAGTTCTCATTTTCTAGGAGTATATTTTAAGCAGTGGAATATCTGGGTCATATGGAATTTCTATGTTCAGCTTTTTGAGGACGCACAAAACTGGCTTCCAGAATAGTTGTACCGTTGCACAATACCACCAACAATGCATAAGAGTTCCTGTCTCAGCACATCCTCTCCAACATTCATTACTTTCTGTCCTGTTAAATTTTGCCACTGCTACTGGAGTGAAATGGCATCTCATTGTGGCTTTGATTTGCATCTCTTATTGTCAGTGATTTTGAGTATTTCTTCATGTGTCAGATCATTTCACATACTTTTTTTCTTAAATTTTATTTTATATTGGTTTACATACAAAGTTCATAAAGCTCATATACATTATTTTTCATACTCACTTTTTAAGGTCAAACACAGTGACTCTGTTTCCCACAGGGCTGATAACAGAATTTCCATCTTGTGTAAAATTTAAATTTCCACGCCGATATACTGTACCCAGTAAATTTGAGAACTAGAAAGAAAACAAAGCTACCTTAATACAAAGAAAATACAAATTGTCTCTGCTCACATAGAGTAGAATGGGGTGCCGGGTTGAAAGGAGACCACAGGGCAGCAGGAACTATCCATTCCCGTGGCTCCTTGGCCACTCCAGACATTTCCCAACCACTCAGCCAGCCACAATCCCAATCAACAGATTGAGGGGAAGTGAACAGCCTAGAGCTCCACCAGAGGAGAAGAGAGCCAGCTGTGAGTCTCAGGAAACTTCAAAGATGAGTTATTTTGGTGGGGCAAGGTTCAGAGGGTCAGTATAGGTTGTAGTTGACTCAATTGCACCTAACAAGAGCCTTCTTCTGGAGACAGAGGGCAGAGGAAGGGATGAGGCCCATGTTTCAGTTGGACAAAAGCTGCAACAAAGGACAGCACTTCAAGAACAACTTGAGTTAGATGCACCTGAACTAATGCATTCATTCTCCATAGGAAACAAGGTCAGTCCAGATGGTGGCAGGCCCTACCCAGTGGCATGTGTGTGTGAGAAGGTCTTTGCTGGATGCTCAGGGTGGGCCCCTGAAGAATGGCGTCTGTGGTAAAATCTAACTGACAAGCTGAATAGGCTCCAGAGTTCTAGATGAGGTAGAAGAAATTCAAAGATTGAGACAAGCTCAAAGGTTTGAGGGCCACTCAATGACATTCAGTAGTCTTCTCCAACAACAGTTAACTTCGTCTTGAATACTTGAAACATGTTGCTAGGAGAGGATATTCCCTAAAGAGGGACATCATGCTTAGGAAGGTGGAGAGACAGGAAAGAGAGGAAGACCCTCAACCAGGTGGGTTGACAGTGACTGCAGCAATGAGCTCAAGAATGTCAGAGGTTGTGAGGCTGGCACAGGGCAGGGCAGAGTTCAGATCTGTTATTCTTAGGGTCACTATGAGTCATATTTGACTTGGCAGCATCTAACAGCAACTAACAACTACAGGGAACACGGTGAAACAGGGTGACCAGGTAAGCTCTTCTACTTTTCCATGAAGGAGTTGACAGTGCTCCAAGGAGTATAGTAACATAAACATGGAGAAGAGGAGATGGGACCTGGCCCTGAGACCTGAGGTCCTGGATGAGAAAAAAGGGTCAGGACCCAGTGGACTTCTGGTATGGGGCCAGGGTGGACCAAGGAGACTTCCCCAGCAGAAGGGCACAGAGAAGGAGCACACTGGAGAGAACCCGGCTCAGTTTTGAACAACATGAGTGAAATTTAAGACTGAGCACAAAACTCTGCCAGCGGCAGATATAATGGTGCAGCATTGGAGGTCTTCACCAGGGGAAGGGACCGGAACAAGATGAGACTGATCAACGTTTAACACAGGAAAAACAAGTCAAAAGATTGCACAAACCAGGGCCGTTTCCCCAAAAAAGCAAAGGCCAATCGTACCAAAGGTTCTGGAGACGTGGGCTCAATGCAAAAAATGCAGATATAGGGGCCAGCAGTCTCAGCTATACCTCTTATCCTCCTTATTTACTCACCGGTCACCTGTCTGCATTCCTCTCATATTTCCCACTAGGCTCTCAAATCCACAATTGGGTCTCCTCTGTCATCTGCCCTCCCCCTGCTCACTGTGACCTGACGACTGCAAGCAGATGTCATCAGGCTTCCCCCCCCCCCCCTTCAGCTGTCTACTCTCTGACCCACCCACCCCCTTCACGCTCTGGTTCCTGGCTCGGCCGGATCTCATCTCTTAATATACCAATGAGTATAAAACAATGCTTGCTGTCTCCTACACTGTCAATTCCTCTCTCGCTCCCGGGGTGGGGGGGTAGGGTAACACAGAATAACTTAGAGAACATGCAGAGATGCTCTGGCGTCACTCGCCTTCCGGGACACAGAGAAGCCACCGCAGAGTCGGATGCCGAGTGTAAGGCTTAAGAGTCAGGCCACCGGCGGCCCCGGAGGAAAGCGAGATCGAGGCTCCTCTACTCTCAGAGCCTCCGGCATGCACACGCCCATGCCTCCCTCCCCGCAGATCGAAAACCCAGGACCCACGGCAGCGGACAACTCACCCGGTAAGCGAACTTCATCTCTGCAGCCACACGTGTGTCCCACTGATTCGCCCCCTGCTCATACTTCCGGGAGAGATTAAGGACCCATGAGGCTGCTCTACAGCGCCCCCACCTGGGCCGGAGTACCACACGCCAACCACAACCGCCTGTCCACGCCCCGCCCTCAGTCCCATCCCGCTCTGCGGAGTTCCGCGGAGCTCCGCCCCTTCTCGGCCGGAAGTGAGCGTAGGCCCGCTACCTTTGCAACTCGCTTATAAGCAAAACCCTGAGTTGACGCTGCTGGCGTCTCTGGGCCCATTCATAAAGGAGGATAGAGTAAGCACAGGTTGGTCCAGCATGCACTGATCCAGCCTTCACTGGAACTCAGAATGGTTTATGCACTTTCTCATTTTAGGCTAGTCCTACAGGTCTGTGCTTCCAATTTAAGTTTTTAATTCCTGGGTGCGCAATGGCGTAGTTGCTAACAACGCAAAGGTTGGTGGTAGAATTTGCCACAGAAAGGTCTAGCAATCTGTTCTCGCAAAGACTTGTTAGGCGTTGCATTGTTGAGTTCCAACTCTTAGTGACCCCACATACACCGAAAGGATACCTTGTCCAATCCTGCGCCGTTTTCAAAATCCTGTCAATCCACGGCAGTGAGTCCTCATCTTTTGTACTTTGCCAGTCCCTCCTGGTAACATCTAGATACAGTCCATCCTCATTCTAAAGAGTACTGGCTGAGCAAGGTGTAAGGTCTGGTTTCACTCATCTTTTCAGAAGGTCCCTTCCCTCTCCTTCTTTCCTCTGCCTTACCACCTTAATAAACCTTTTTCACTTGAGGGTGGGAGGAGAAGAGCATTGGCTGTACTTTGAAGATGCATATGAGGCAAGGAGGCATTCCTTAAGCATCAAAGTGAAAAGTTTTGCTTTATAACACTAAAGAGGTCTGTTGCAGGAGAATTGCCCAGTACTAACCTTGAGAATGGGAATCTCCGAACACTTGATTGTGCTCATGCAAAATCTATACTGGACCAAGAAGCAGTAGTCAGAAGAGAGCAAGGAAATACCGCATGGTTCAAAATCAGGAGAAAAGTGCATCAAGGATGCATCCTGTCTCCATACCTTTTCAATCTATTTGCAGAAGAGTTAATTCTGGAAAGGGCTTTATGAGAGGAAATGTGGCCTGAGAATTGGAGGAAGACTCATCAACATTATGCAGTTGATATAACCTTGCTTGCCAAAACTGAGGAAGACCTGAAGAATTTGTTGTAGAAGGTCAAGGCCTGTCATCTTCAATATGGAATTGAAGTTCAGTATCAAGAAGACAAAGATTCTCACCACAGAGCCAATTGGAGGTACCGTACTAGATGAAGAAACGATTGAGGTTGTTAATTTCAGCTTGCTGGGCTCCGCAATCAACACTCTTGGCATCAACAGTCAGGAAATCAAAAGACAAATTGCATTAGGGTAATCTGCTGTTAGGGAGTGCTCCAAAGTGCTAGAGAACAATGATGTCACTCTAGAGATTAAGGTGAGCCAGATTTAGGCCATTGTCTTCACAGTTACTTGCTATGCATCAGAGAGCTGGATAATGACTAAGGATGACAGAATTATTGCTTCCAAGAGAACATACAGGTCTGTCTTGGATAGAGTGAAACCAAGCTTCTCCTTGGAGGCAAGGATTTTGAAGCTCTGTTTGACATTATTTTGGCTGTGTGGCCAGGACGGACCAGTCCCTGGAGAAGGACATCATGCTTGGAAGGGTGGAGTGTCAGCACAGGAGAGGAAGAGCCCAGATGACATGGATTGACAGTAACTGGGGTAATGAGAGTAAGTGTGTCAGAGACAGTGGGACTGGCTCAGGATAGGACAAGGTTCAGAGCAATTTTATATAGGGTCACTATGAGTTATAAACTACTCAGTGGTACATAACAACATACATACATAGTTCCTATCAGTGTTATTCCTAATTTGTTATGACCTACAAATACCTTTGCATAGTCAATAAAACACAAGTAAATGCATTTCTAATATTTTCAGCCAAGATCCATCTGACATCTGAAATTATATCCTTTGTTGTCATGGCCTCTTCTGAACGGAGCTTGAATTTCTGGCAATTTCCAGTCAATGTACTGTGCCAGCCATTTTAAAATAATCTTCAGCAAGATTTTACTTGCATGTGGTAGTAATGAGAGAGTTTGGTAATTTCTAGAGTCTATCGAATCGCCCTTTGTGGAATGGAACAAATAGCTGTATTCCAAGTTTTTTTGGCACAGACTACTGAACACATCCAGGCAGAGCTGCATCAATTTTTTGAACCATGTCAACTGGTGTTCCATCAGTTCCCAGGGCATCTTTTTTATCAATGCCTTCAGTGTAGCATGAACTTCTTCATTACCATTGGCTCTTCATCATATGCTACTTCCTGAAGTAGCTCAGGATTAATGTTCACTAATTTTTTTAGGTGCAGTGTCTCTCTATTCCTTCCATCGTCTTTTGATGCTTCCTGCATCAGAATCCTTTAATAAAGCAACAATACAAGGCTTGAATTTGTTCTATAGTTCCTTCACTTTTAGAAATACTGAGTGTTCTTCACTTTTCAGTTTTCTAACTCCAGCTCTTCAGACATTGTATTATACTACTTTGCTTTGTCTTCTCCAGCTGCTCTTTGTAATATTAATCTCATTTTTTCTCTCACTTCAGCATTTTTTACCTTTGTTTTGGCCTTTACGTTTTAATAAAAGGTTTGAGTCTCCTCTGACATTCATTTTGGTCTCTGCTTCTCCCCCTCCGTTTTTTTATTATTAATTTTAATGAAAGTTTATGGAGACTTTGGATTTCCATTCATTGTTGCACTTTTCTCCCTTCCCACCCCTCTTCCTCGGTTCCCTCTTCTCTTTGAAAAGTAAAAATCTTTCATTGTTATACAATCCCTCCCCCAAAGTCCACTCCACTATGCAGTCTTCATTCTGGACTCCTGTCATGACAGTAATAACTACACCTTAAAATCTTTTAAGGTTTTGGGCAATGAGCATTCTAGGTCTTCATGCTGGAAATGGATGTTGTGGAAACTATATAATCTTTGAACTTCATCAATAAATATTTCAAATCTTGTTTTCCCCAAGGTTGTATTCTTTGTATATTGCAGGTTGTTGATTAGTCTTCCTCTAATCCTGATGCTGTATTATTTTTTAGTCTAGTTTTTCAAATTGTTCAGCATACAGATTAGTAGAATGAAAAGCTACAGCTCTGATAATACACTTTTCCTATTCTTAAACACATACAGTATCCTTTTCTGTTCATGCAACTAAGTGCCTTTAGGTCTATGTATAGTTTCTCCAGTACAATTAAGTTGTTGTGGAATTCCCATTTCCCCACAGTGTTATCCATACCATATATTAGGATCAACACCGTAGAATGATTTTACATAATAAGACACAGGTAAACACCTTTCTGGTATTTTGTGCTTTCAAAGACATTATTAATCTAACTCATCAGGAATGAGATCCCATTTTTCACATTCACTTCTGAATCTACCCTGAATTTCTGGCAATTCTCTCAATGTACAACTATTTTTTAACTCTGTTCAGCAAAATTATATTGTTTTAGTACTGTCATACTAATGATACTGTATGATATTTTCACACTCTGTTGGATGATCTTCCTTTGGACAAGACATAAATACTCTTCCAGTTAAAGGGCCACATAGTTGCCTTCCAAATTTCTTGACACAGACAAGCGAGTACTTCCAGTTGCATGCAATTTTTGACTCATCTTACTCGATATTCCATCAACTCTTGAAGGGGTTTTTGGTATGTTGTAGTTTTGGTTGGGTTGGTTTGTTTCCGATGCCACTGAACAGTTGTTAGAACAGAGCAAGGAAACACTGCGTGGTTCAAAATTAGGAAAGTGTGTCAGGGATGCAACCTGTCTCTATACCTTTTCAATCTTTATGCAGAACAGATCATCTAGGAGGCTGGACTATATGAGGAGGAAAGTGGTATGAGGATTGGAGGAAGACATATCAACAACCTACAAAATGCAGATGATAGAACTTTACTTGCTGAAACTGACAAGGACCTGAAGCATTTGTTGCAGAAGATCAAACACTGCAGTATTCAATATGGACTGAATCAAGAAGACAAAGATTTTCCCCATAGGGCCAATTGGCAGCACCATGACAGATGAAGAGATTGAGGTTGTTAACAATTAACAGCTTGCTTGGCTCCACAATCAACACTCTTGGCACGAGCAATCAGGAAATCAAAAGACTAATTGCTTTGGGGAAGTATGCTGTCTGGGACCTCTCCAGAGTGCTGAGGAGCAAAGATGTCAGTCTAGAGACTAGTATGTGCCTGATCCAAGCCATAGTTTTCACAATTACATGCTATGCATCAGAAAGCTGGACAATGACTAAGGATGACAGAAGAAGAACTGATGTCTTTGATTTGTGGTGCTGAAGAAGAATCTTGAAAATACCATGGAGTCCCTGGAGAACAAACAGGTCTGTCTTGGAAAGGGTAAAACCAAGTTTTAGGCACATGGCCAGGAGGGACCAGTCCTTAGAGAAGGACGTCATCATGGGAAGGGTAAAGGGACATCCCAGGAAAGGAAGACCCCAGATGAGATAGATGGACATATTAACTGGGGCAATGGGGTTAAGTGTGTCAGTCAGTGAGACTGGCTCAGGATAGGCAGGCTTCAGAGCCATTGTACATAGGGTCACTGTGAGTCGCAGGCACCTAGGTGGCACATAAAAACAATGCCATCAGTACAGCCTGGACATCTTCTTTTAATACCATTGCTTCTTGATCATATGCTGTCTTCTGAAATAAATGAATGTTGACCAATTCTTTTTTTATATAGTGACTCCTATGTATTCTCTTTTTAAAACTTTTTATATCATACAATATGCTGTCCAAAGAGTCCTTCAGTGTTGCAACTTGAAGCTAGAATTTTTTTTCTCCTGGTCCTTCAGCTTAAGAAATGCCCAGAGTGCTCTTATTTTTTTGGTTTTATAACTGTAAGTTATTTTCACT